ATGATGTTCAAGTAAGAGTTATATTTCCGCATTATAGATGAGCATGAGACGTTAGTGGCGACTCTAGATATGTGGAAATTTAGGGTCGTTACAGCACAAAACACGATGAGCAATTCCAAGAGAACGAAAGAATGTGTTGTGAATTTTTTGATATTCCCACCCGAATCAGACTGGACACACTTGATTTTAGTATCCAGGAGGCGTTCAACATGAGTTTGGAACTAAAAAAGTATATGAAGAGTTTCTGTACGATCATGCATCAAATAGATCCACGAAAATTTACTGAAATCATCAATGAAGTTGATATAATACTTAAAAACCCCAATAGATGGAGGTGTCGGACCCAAAACATCCAAAAAATTAGTTCCAAAGGTGACGAAGACCTATGAAAAGAACTGGTGTATGGTAACCGATGACTTTTTAATATTTGACACGCATTACAAACTGGAAAAGGTGTCAATAGCACACAAAATATAATTGAGACGCAAAATTGACTTTACTACTTCAGATGAAAGATGTCCAAGACGTGCATGCCATTGAGCGTGAGTAGTAGATCTGCTCACTAAGGTGTGCTTGAGATCATTGATATCAAATGGCTTAATAGGATAGAGACCAGACTCACACCTCCAGTCTAGAAGACTTTTCCTCGATCGTTGATCCTTAATAGAAAATTTTTAAGGATGGTATTCAAGAATACGTCATTATCACAAAAAAATTTATGAATGGAAAGAAGATGTTTGAAAATTTCAGGCACATCCAAAATATTACGTAATGCAAGAGGACGAGTAGCACTATTAATTGAAGAATGACCAGTGTGCAAAATCTACAAACCTGATCCATTGCTGACTTGAACTTGTTCATTTCCATGATAGCGTTCACGCACAGCGAGACGATCCAGGTCACTAGTGATATGATCAGTGGCGCCTGTTTCGCTGTACCAATTTAGATCAATCTTATTAGAGAAAGTAGCTACCAGTGTCGCAAAAGAAGGTTCATCTTGATAGGACTCATCCATCCTACGTCAGCAGCAAACGATAATATGCTCCACTTTACCACAGATCTGGTAGGAAGGATGAGCAGAAGGGTCACGAAAATCATCAGCAGGACGAGAAGGCGCGCCACTTCGAGAACGGCCACAACCACGATCCCTACGCCCACGGTTCTTCTGCTGACCACCACTATTAGTTATAAAATTGTTTTTTATTTATTTATTTTTTTTTTATAAGTTTTTGTTAACAATAACTGTCAGTATTTATTTTATTTTATTTTTTGTTTATTTCTTCCTAAAAAAAGGCTAGGGATACCGTGTCAGGAGAGGTGGAAGAGTGGAAATAATTTTTAGGAAGTGGAATTAGTGGAAGGAGTTGTAGCTGATTTGTAGCAAGAAAAGTGTTATTTTTTTTTAAATTATTATATAAGGAAAATGGTGTCGAGTAAGTAATACACCACAAAAAGAAGATAAAATTAATTTGTGTGTCTTTGCTCCTCTCCCCTTCTGTTATTTTCTTTCAATTGGTATCAAAGCTACAAGATCAAGGCCTATTTCCAATCATGTCTCACCTAGAGATTGAGCGGTCAAGAAGGGAGAGAGATCAAAAAATGAGACAAGAATCGAGTGACAGGAGCCAAAGCACCTGTGCAATAGAATATGATGCCTCAAATACCCGATGTTATTTTCTTCTAAGTGAGTGTACGGATTCAAGAAAATGAGGAATCTGTCACATTCAAATACCCGATGTTGACAAAATGCAACTATGCAGCTTGGGCGATTAAGATGGATATATTTATGATGACACAAGGTGTTTGGGAGGCAATTGAATCACCCGAAACAGTAGATAACCGTAAAGATTAGATGACTTTAGCAGCTATTTATCAAAGTATTGGAGAAGATACGTTGCTACAGTTGGGTGCCAAGAAAATGACCAAAGAAGCCTGGATCATGTTGAAAAATATGAATCTAGGTGCGGAAAGAGTGAAAGAAGTTAGAACGCAGACTCTCTGGCAGAAATTTGAAGCGTTGAGATGGGTGATTCAGAAAGTATTGATGAGTATTTGGAAAACTCACCATTATTGTCAACAAATTGAGAGGCCTCGACAATGCTGTGGATGATATCCAAGTAGTTAAGAAACTTCTACAATCCACCTTTGCAAAGTTTCTTCAAATCACTTCAACGATTGAGGAGTTCAGTGATCTCAAAACAAAATCAGTTGATGGGATTATTGGATCACTCAAGGCACATGAAGAAAGGTTGCAAGAGTTTGGAGAAAAAGATGAAATCGTTCTCCTCACTCGTGCCGAATGGAAGGGACGAGAGAATGCAAAATCCTTAAAGAAAGAAGGGAAGGATCAAAGCAGTTTGAGAGGAGGCAGGGGACGGGGTCATGGAAGATGGAGAGACCGTGGGAGAAGTGACTAGCATCGAGGAGATGAAGAACAGTCACAAACTCAAAAGAAGAAGTTTGACAAAAGTAAAATTAAATGTTACAGGTTGCAGCATATGAGACACTTCGCATCAGAGTGTTCCACAAAAGACGAACAACTCAACTTGATAGAGATGCAAAAGGATGAGGAGTCTTCACTTCTGATGATAGAGGCATGTGAAATTAGAACCACAAGTGACAAAGAGCCTAACTTTGTGATGCTGAATGAAACTATAGTGCCGCCACCAGCCAATATTGGAGCTGAAAATTCCTGGTACCTAGATACTGGAGCAAGCAACCACATGTCAGGAGAAAGGAGGGTGTTTCATGAGCTCGACACATCTTTTGTTGGAAAGGTACATTTCGGTGATAACTCTGTAATAGACATTTGTAGTCGAATAATAGTGCTCTTCAAATGCAAAACCGATGAGCACTTGATCTCATCACAAGTCTATTACATACCCAAACTCAAAAGCAATATAATAAGTTTGGGACAATTGGACGAGAGTGAAAATAAAATTGTCATAGAGGACAATGTGATGAAGATATATGACAGGGCCAGGAGCTTGATTATTATGGTGACCAGACAATCTAACAGATTGTATGTAGCAAAGCTGAAGCTTGCGGATCAGGTGTGTTTAATGACAAATATCAGTAACGATGGTTGGCTCTGGCACGCGAGGTATGGACACTTGAATTTTCACTCTTTAAAGCAATTAAATGACAAAAGAATGGTTGAAGGGTTATCGAAAATCACTTAGGTCAATCAATTCTATGATGGGTGTTTAATTGGAAAACAACATAGGACTCCTTTTCCGTGAACAGCAACATATCGTGCGAAGGAGTCATGGATCTCGTCCATGGAGATCTATGTGAACCTATTTCGCCAATGAATTATGGAGGTAACAAATATTTTATGTTACTCGTGGATGATTTTTCACAACTTATGTAGGTTTTTTTGTTGAAAAACAAGAATGAAACACTGGTGGTATTTAAAAAGTTCAAAATCAGTGTGGAGGTAGAGAAAGGCAAGAAGATGATGAGCTTTAGAATGGACCGTGGAGGAGAGTTCGTATCTACTGCTTTTAAAGACTATTGCGAGAATGAAGACATGAAGAGATTTCTTACTGCACCATTTTCACCACAACAAAATGGCGTAGTAGAAAGACGTAATCGAACGGTTGTAGAGATGGTCATATGTATGTTAAAGAGCAAAGAGATGCTTGCAAAATTTTGGGGAGAAGCTGTCAAAACTGCAGTGTATATTCTGAACAGATCGCCAACAAAAGGAGTTGCAGATGGTACACCGTATCAAGCTTGGTTTGACAAGATACAGAAGGTTCATCACTTTAAAATCTTCGGGTGTCTTGCTCATGCCAATAATACATATTCACACCTTCCTAAACTTGTTGATAAGAGTGTGAAGACAATTATGTTGGGATATGAAGATGGAACCAAAACTTACAAACTATTTAATCCACATAAGAACATAATTATGGTGAGCAGGGATGTGAGGTTCGAAGAGGAGAAAAAGTGGTATTGGGAAGAAATCACAAACAGTGATGATGAACAAAGGGAAACTTTCATTGTTCAAATTTCAGAAAGAAAGGAGAGGAATATTGAACAAATCGAAGTTGATCTAGATGAAAGGCAAAGGAAAAATTCGTCCTCAACTTTATCAACGTCAGACAGTACCTCAAATGCATCATCATCAAGCTTGTCGAATCCGAAAAAGTTCAGATCTCTTGAAGATATTTATAGAGAAACGAACGAAGCAGAGGAGAAAGCAGTGGGCCTTTGTTTTTTTTCTATAGAGGAGCCAAACTCATATGAGGAAGCTGCTAAGAATGAAAACGAGAGGAATGCCATGAAGTCTGAAATTCTCTCCATTGAAAAGAACAGAACGTGGGAACTCGCAGATTTTTCGAAAAATCATAAAACAATCGGCATCAAATGAATTTTCAAATTAAAGAAAAATTTAAATGGAGAGATCATGAAACATAAGGCGAGACTCGTGACAAAGGGATATGCACAACAGTTTGGTGTAGATTACAGTGAAGTATTCGCACCAGTGGCCAGGTTAAAAAAATTGAGATTAATTCTTGCCTATGCAGCAATTAAGAACTGGGAAGTACATCACATGGATGTGAAGACAACTTTTTTGAATGATGAGTTAGCAGAGGAGGTGTATGTTGTTCAACCAGAAGGGTTCGTTGACAAGGAAAATCCAAACATGGTATTAAAACTACTTAAAGCCTTGTATGGATTAAAACAGGCTCCGAGGGCCTGGAATTTTAAACTTAATCAATGTTTGCAGTCACTTAGTTTTGTTAGATGTCCACAGGAATATGCTCTCTACAAGAAAATTAATGGAGTTGAAGCAATGATAATTAGCATATATGTGGATGACTTAATCATAGTCGGCTCAAACAAACAAGTTACAGCTCAGTTCAAGGAAGAGATGCAACAGAAATTTGAGATGAGCGATCTTGGACTTGGGTATTGAGGTACGACAAAGCAGTGAATCAATCACTTTATGTCAGGCCGGATATGCAAGAAAAATCCTAGAGAAGCTAGGAATGGGGAAGTGCAATCCTTGTTCGATTCCCATGGAACCAAGAATGAAGATGAGCAAACATGGAAATGGAGAACCTGCGGTTGACAAAACACTTTACAGAAGTGTTATTGGAAGCTTACGCTATCTGGTTAATACTCGGCCCGACATAGCCTACTCACTTGGTGTGATGAGTAGATACATGGAGGCACCAACAACTTCACATCTCACCGCAGTAAAACAAATATTGAGGTATGTGAAAGGTACTCTAAGTTTTAGTTGTGTTTATAAGAAGCTGTCGAATGTGGAGCTAGGAGGATTTAGCGACAGTGATATGACTAGGGATATTGCTGATAGGAAGAGTACAACTGGAGTGTGTACTATTTTGGAGTAAATCCAATAACTTGGGTATCACAAAAGAAGAAAGTGGTGGCTTTATCTTCATGCGAGGTTGAGTATATAGCCGCAACTTTTGGAACGTGTCAAGGAGTATGGTTGGATAGGATTTTGAGGAACATCAGTTAACTGCAAGTAAAACCCAAGCTTAATGTTGATAACAAGTTAGCTATAGCGTTGACAAAAAATCATGTTTACCATGATCGAAGTAAGCATATTGATACCAGGTTCCATTTTATTCGCCAATGTGTGCAAACTGAAGCTATTGAACTTAAATATGTAAGCACAGATGAACAATTGGCGGATATTCTGACAAAGTCGTTAGCAAGACAACGGTTCCTCGAGTTAAGAGAGAAGATTGGCTTGAAGAAAGTCGATTCAGCATAGTTAAACAAGTTTAGAGGAGTGATTGTTAGTTATAAACTTTTTTTTTTAATTTATTTATTTCTTTTGCTTCGTAAGTTTTTGTTAAAAATAGCTGTGAGTATTTATTTTATTCTTTTGTTTATTTTTGGATAAAAAAAAGGCTAGGGATATCATGACAGGAAAAGTGGAAGTAGTGGAAGAGTAGAACTAATTTTTAGGAAGTGGAATTAGTGGGAGGAGTGGTAGATGATTTGTAGCAAGAAATGTGTTATTTTTTTATTATAAAAGGAAAATGGTGTCGAGTTAGTAATACACCACAAAAAGAAGATAAAATTAGTTTGTGTCTTTGCTCCTTCAACCCTTCTGCTATTTTCTTTCAACCACAGCCAATATAATTGGCCGAAGATCCAGGATTTAACTAAAGTTCAGCCTGGTGTTGTAGTTGGCGAGGTTCAAACGCCATTAGATGTGCAAACACATCATCAAGCATGAGAACTTCACTCTTGGTAGTCATCGAGGTGACGAAGTGATCATAGTCAGGGTCAAGACCAGTGAGGAGATATGTGATCACGTCATCATCTCGCATAGTAGAGCCGACGGCAGCTAGCTCGGTGGCCAGCCCTTTGATCTTGCGAGAATAATCTGCAGCAGACAGATCGCATTTCTTGGACATGGCGAGCTCAACACGAATCTAAACAGTATGAGCACGAGTTGACGACGAAAACATCCGCTGCAGGGTATCCCACGCCTCCTTGGACGTAGTAGCAACAACCACATCGCGAAGAATCTCCTCAAACATGGAGGAGAGAGGACCGCAAGGACCTATTAATTCTGATCATACCACCGATCATAGGCCGGATTAGAGACAAAATCAACATTAGTAGCAGTTAGGAAGGGACAAGCTTGACAAGTGCGGCAATGGTGCCATCGAGGTAGCCCATAAGCTTTGTACTCCGTGTTGGATCGGTATGGCAACCCTAGAGGGGGGGTGAATAGGGTTTTAACGATAAAAGTGTTTAAACGTGATTAATTTTTCTAATGATGAAACTTTTTACAAATAAGTAGAAGATGATAATTACTATAACAAAGTAATTCAAGTCAAAACAATAATCAAGTAGAACATGCAATAAATCACAATAATAATTTTGAAATTAAATAGGAAAGAGTTAGAGAAAATGACACCGTAGTTTTATAGTGGTTCGGTCAAACTCGACCTACTCCACTCCCCAAGCGCCTCTTGGGAATTTGAATAAAGAACTTTCTCGACTCTTTCCACGGATCTGAGCCAAACCGCTACACCGCTCTTTTTACAAGTTCATGAGCAAACTCAATTCTTTCCACGGCGTAGGATCAAACCGATACAAGTATTTGAGTTTGATAATAACACACCACAACTCTCTCAAAGAGTAGATTTACAATTTGGGATACTCACAACTATTTCCTCACAATATAATAATAATCCCTCTCAAGAATAAGATGAAAAGAAATAAACTTGTAAGCTTGGAGAGAGCAACAAACAATGGAGACTTTGAACAAATGAGGATCGGAGAATGTATGTAAGTTGTGTATTTTAAAATGTGGGGGAAGATGAGTTTATATGGAGGAGAAAAGTGGCAAAATGTAGGATTGAATATTGACCATTGGATTGTGTTAGGAATAATGGAAGGTGGAGATTAAAAGTAAATAAATAAGAAAATTTTCTAAATTCATTTATTTCAGAATAGTAATATAATATAATAATAATAAAAAGTTATGTGAGTAACGGTCAAATGAAATTCAAAATTTATTATAAATATAATAATAAAAACTATGTGAGTAACTACCAAAATTTTAAAATATAATAATATAATAATATGATATAATAATAATAAAAATCGATGTGAGTAACGGTTAGATTCAAATTTATATTTTGTAAAAATAACTTTATTTAAAAATATAATAATAAGAAGAAAAAAAACTCCACCATTTGTTACTCTCCCAAAATTATAAATGTCATACTTTCATATATTTTGATTTGTCCATCATTTTGATTTTGCTGACACATCATCACGTCGGGTATGTTGTCTCGATTGTAATTTCTTCGTTTTAGCTCTGATTTGAGTAATGGAAAAGTCGTTGAAATCGTTATTCCCGACCTTATACTGTGGACAGTTCAAAATACTAAAAATAGTTAATAATTAAAAGTAGGTTTGTTATCATCAAAACATCAATTAATTGATTGAAATTAATTAAAGTGAGATCAAGAGCGTCAACAATCTCCCCTTTTTTATGATGACAAACCATTTCAAGAAAAATTCATAAAAATCAAGGTAATACACCATCCATGTAATAATACCAATACATGCTAATATATTATCATAAATTTTACTCAAGCATATTCTCTCTTATATTAATGCCTCGAGAAATTATGAAACATCAAACAAGTAAATGATTCATAAATAATAAAACAACAAACTTAGAACAACAAATTTAGAGCATATTTTTCTTAATTTTCTCCCCCTTTGTAATCATAAAAAACAACAATGGAAAGAGAATACATTTAAGAATGACATAATGGCTCCCCCTAAAAACATGCATTCAAAAATTATAAAATTCAAGATATATCACAACCAATAATACCAAGCTCAAGCCTATTTTTGCAAAAATTTTCTTGATTCAATGGCTTGGTGAAAATATCGGCTAGTTGATTATTAGAGTTTACAAAATCAAGAATAATATGTCCATTTTGCACATGCTCTCTAATAAAATGATGTCTAATGTCAATATATTTAGTTCTAGAATGATGAATAGAATTTTTAGTTCAATTAATAGCACTCGTTGTTAGGTTATGAAGCCGGATACTTATTTATAGCTTGGTCAACGGTTATATCCGGTAAAGCTATATTTAGTAGAGCTATATATAGTAAAGCTATATATGGTAAATAGCTATATATAGTAGATGGCTAAATCTGGTAAAGCTATATATAGTAAACTATACCATATATATATCTGGTCCCGTAGAGCTTCGAAGATGTACTTTCTATTCTCTGTACTCTCTCTTGTTGTACATACCTGAAATCATCAAATAAAAAAATCCTTTTAGCCAGAGTTCTCCTTGCAATTTTCTCTATCCTTTTCTTTGTGTTCATCTAGATCGAGTGTGTGTGTTGTTGTGCGATCCTAACAACTGGTATCAGAGCTAACGACTGTTATCGATCCTAACAACTGGTATCAGAGCCAGGTTGAAATCAGAGCCGGGCGGAAGTCAGAGCCGGGCGGAAGTCAGAGCCAAGCGAAAATCAGAGCCAGGCGGAAGTCAGAGCAAGGCAAAATTCACCACGATCTGTGAAGATGGAAAGTTCAAAGATTGGAATTGAGAAGTTCGATGGATCCGATTTCGGTTTCTGGAAGATGCAGATTGAAGATTATCTGTACCAGAAAGATCTTCACGAACCTCTGTTGGGGGTGAAGCCGGAAACCATGACCACGAAACAATGGAAGCTCAAGGATCGACAAGCCATAGGGATGATCCGGTTGACGCTATCCAAAAACGTGGCGTTTAACATCATCAAGGAGAAGACAACGTCAGATCTGATGAAGGCGCTGTCGAATATGTACGAAAAACCATCGGCTATGAACAAGGTGTATTTGATGCGGAGATTGTTATGAGTCCTTGTGAGAACTACGTTACGAGCAAACAGAAACGAGTTAGCTTCACAAAGACTGCTAGAGAATTGAAGGAAAGTACCGGAAGCAGCGTCGCTGAATCTCCCGAGAGGGGGTTGCGTCGCAGAAACTCCAAAGGGGGTTGCGTCGCTGAAGCTTCAGAGGGGGTTGCGTCGGCCGGAAGCGTCGCTGAAGCTCCAGAGGGGGTTGCGTCGTCCGGCAGCGTCGCTAGAACTTCAGAGGGGGTTGCATCGTCCGGAAGCGTCGCTGAAGCTCCAGAGGGGGTTGCGTCGTCCGGAAGCGTCGCTGAAACTCCAGAGGAGGTTGCGTCGGCCGGAAGCATCGCTGAAACTCCAGAGGGGGTTGTGTCGGCCAGAAGGAGCGTCGCTGAAGCTCTAGAGGAGGTTGCGTCAGCTGGAAGTGTCGTTGAAACTCCAGAGGCAGTTGCGTCGGCCGGAAGCGTCGCTGAAACTCCGGAGAGGGTTGCATCGCTGAAACTCCAGAGGGGGTTGGGTCGGTCGGAAGCGTCGCTAAAACTCCAAAGGGAGTTGCGTCGGCCGGAAGCGTCGAAGCTCCAGAGGGGGTTGCGTCGTCCGGAAGCGTCCCTGAAGCTCCAGAGGGGGTTGCGTCGTCTGGACGCGTCATTGAAGCTCCAGAGGAGGTTGCGTCGTCCGGAAGCGTCGCTGAAGCTCCAGAGGAGGTTGCGTCAGCTGGAAGTGTCGCTGAAACTCCAGAGGGGGTTGCGTCGTCCGGAAGCGTCGCTGAAGCTCCAGAGGAGGTTGCGTCGTCCGGAAGCGTCGCTGAAGCTCCAGAAAGGGTTGCGTCGTCCAGAAGCGTCGTTGAAACTCCGGCGGCGGTTGCGTCGCTGAAACTCCAGAGGAGGTTGGGCCGGCCGGAAGCGTCGCTGAAACTCCAGAGGAGGTTGCATCGATCGGAAGCGTCGCTGAAACTCCAGAGGAGGTTGCGTCGGTCGGAAGCATCGCTGAAACTCCAGAGGGGGTTGTGTCGGCCGAAAGGAGCGTCGCTGAAGCTCTAGAGGGGGTTGCATCGTCCGGAAGCGTCGCTGAAGCTCCAGAGGGGGTTGCGTCGTCCGGAAGCGTCACTGAAGCTCCAGAAGAGGTTGCGTCAGCTGGAAGTGTCGCTGAAACTCTAGAGGAAGTTGCGTCGGCCGGAAGCGTCGCTGAAACTCTAGAGGGGGTTGCGTCGCTGAAACTCCAGAGGGGGTTGGGTCGGTCGAAAGCGTCGCTAAAACTTCAGAGGGAGTTGCGTCGGCCGGAAGCTTCGCTGAAGCTCCAGAGGGGGTTGCGTCGTCCGAAAGCGTCGCTGAAGCTCCAGAGGGGGTTGCGTCGTCCGGAAGCGTCGCTGAAGCTCCAGAGGGGGTTGCGTCGTCCGAAAGCGTCGCTGAAGCTCCAGAGGGGGTTGCGTCGTCCGGAAGCGTCGCTGAAGCTCCAGAGGGGGTTGCGTCGTCCGAAAGCGTCACTGAAACTCCAGAGGGGGTTGCGTCGTCCGGAAGCGTCGCTGAAGCTCCAGAGGAGGTTGCGTCAGCTGGAAGTGTCGCTGAAACTCCAGAGGGGGTTGCGTCGTCTGGAAGCGTCGCTGAAGCTCCAGAGAAGGTTGTGTCGTTCAGAAGCGTCGCTGAAGCTCCAGAGGGGGTTGCATCGTTCGGAAGCGTCGCTGAAGCTCTAGAGGAGGTTGCGTCAATTGGAAGTGTCGCTGAAGCTCCAGAGGGGGTTGCGTAGTCCGGAAGCGTCGCTGAAGCTCCAGAGGGGGTTGCGTCGTCCGAAAGCGTCGCTGAAGCTCCAGAGGGAGTTGCGTCGGTCGGAAGCGTCGCTGAAACTCTAGAGGGGGTTGTGTCGGCCGGAAGTGTCGCTGAAACTCCAGAGGAGGTTGCGTCGGCTGGAGGCGTCGCTGAAACTCCAGAGGAGGTTGCATGGGCCTAAGACT